TTTTCGTCTTTCGTATAATCTGCGTAGTTTTCTTGATTGAAGCTCTAAAATTAAAGGTTAGGTATGGTTTTGTAGAGCATTTCGCGGCACATCTTTTTAAAAAAACATTAACCTTTGGGCCCTAAAGAAACACGAGAAAAATAGAAAATATTGAGATGCCATACTCATTACAATTTCTGGAAATCTGACGATAAGGGGGCCGTCATTGCACTCAATGTATTTTTCAGCAAATAAATGCAAGACCAGATTTAGATATACAGAATTGTAGAGAATTCCAAACACTATCAGAATATGTGATCATTTTTGTAAAAGTATATTTTCATAAGGAAAATATCTTAAAAATACTGTGTGCAACTATTTTTTTCCACGAGGATATATATGCAAAAAAGAAGGAAACAGTATGTGTAAAAGATCATTCTTTTACTATGATACTGTGTGATTCATACTAAAAAATGTTGAGTATACAAGTCTTTTGGGAGTACATACTTTTTATCCTTTTTGTCCTAAATAAATCTATTAGAATACTTTCTTTTATTACTCTCTTGATTGTATGCGATTCGACAGCTAAGATCATTGAGTTACAGTTAGTTTTATCTCTCATCACAAGTCCATGATGTTCTTGAGAAATTGTTTCCATAAAAAGTGTCCTTGTGTTTTCCTTATTGCGATTCGGCGATCTGTTTGATCTATGTAAGTCCCATTACAACCACAACAGTCGTACCCGTAAACTACTTTCTTATTGTCTCGACTGCCCCTAAATGTTGAGCTGAATATATTGGATAGTCGATGACTAGATTTAAAATTAATCATAATTTGTTTCAGTGGATCTTTAATCAATGGTTTTAAACGGTTAGCAACTGTCAATGAATGTGAACCATAATACGGAAACGGAATGAAAGCTTTCTTGACATTATGTAATAGACCTTGCATCCATCTGTGTAGATTTGCCTACTTTTGCCTTTATTTTCAAACTTGTACGGCTGATGCAATAGTAAAACAATTCTTTCAAATTTTCAATGATGGATGATGTTTCTTTATTTCATTCATTGTAATGCTTATCGATTGTTCCAATGGGACATTTGTGAATAATGATGATGTGTCTAATGAAAACATTAGTCCAGAAAAAGATTTTCTTTGTTTTACTTTATCCACAAAATTGAATGAGTCTATCAAATAAGATTTTACATCAGACATATGCATCATTTTGACTGACGATGTTCTGAGTGAAAAACGAAATGTCTCAATAAAGTTGTCTACTTTTAAAAAAATGATGAAAAAGGTAGAATTAATCTTATTATTTCTAATCAAAATAATTTTTTTCTTTTGAGATTTAGCAGACAACAGGACTAATATGACAAGAGAGAATTGATTATTGTGGCAATAAATATTTTTTATGATTTTGTTTTTTAAGGTGGATTGTCAAATCGAACAACTTTCGATTTATCAAAATTGACACCATCAAATATTACATCATTAAGATGGGAATATACATTGTCAGATCCAAAACTTGAAGAACAACGTATTGAAAAATATAAAGAAAATCGTCGTCAACGATATATTGAACATCGTAATCAATCATTAATGACACTAATGGAAAATGTTAGTCTCACATAGTTTGGAACTTGACATATATTTTTGTCTATTTTATAATATATATATTTCAATTGTTTACGAGATTCTTTTACTTCTATTTATACTAGTCTAGAATCAATCTCGTTTATTTATTTTTGTACGGCTTTTTTGTTTTTTTATGCGTTTTTGCTTGGGATAAACAAAGAATAAAATAAAAATTATTTTTTTAATCTGTCCATCTATTTAAACGAATGAAATGAGACTTTGTTTTGTGCCAAATGGTATGAAGTATGTAAAAACTGTCTGAATATTGAAAAGAGACAGCATATGGATCAATTAAATATGAAATGGAAACAAAAAAAAAACTACTTCAAAATTTTTGGAAAGGTACGTAAGTTACTTGATGTAAAAAGCAATACTAATTTATTTCGAATTAGAGATATATATTCAACATGAAAAAAGTTCTTGAGTTATATGCATCATTGGAAAAATTTGTACAACATTTGAAAAAACATGTTTTTTATTATTTGACACATCAAACCATGTGAATTATTTGGTGACATAGGTATCTATTCTTTTCTTCTTTTCTCTTTTCTATGTCAGATTTCTCTCTTTTTATTTGAGGTTTTTTATTGTGTGCATTGCATGACGTGTTGTACATGACTGTACTTTTGTTTTATTTGCTTTTCTAATCTGCTATTTTGTATCTTATTATGTTTGTTACTTCATATACGCACTGATAGATAGTACCATCACCAGACGAAAATAATAATAATAAAGTTGATAATAATGTGTTGACAATTCCCTCTATTATGACATTTTCTGTAATATAAAACCGAAAAAAACTAGTCGACTAACATATACAACTGTTATGATAGAAAGAAAGAAAAATGTATTTATTATTATTACTTCATATGTTAGATAATATATTTCCTCATCAAACACATCATACAACAGAACATGAGTTCAAAAATAATTAAAATTTGTTTTCTATCTATATTTATTGATTTTCTTGAATTTACAATTATTCTTCCATTATTACCGCGTATTCTTACTTATTATGGCAATGATGAGCAAGTAAAAGATTGATAATTTTTTAAATTAGGACATAGAATATTTTTATATTTTTAAATCTAGGATATTTTATATACAAAAATTATCTCACTCGTAAAATTTTTAAATTTATCAGGAGCACCAAACTCTGTTAAATGGAATTCTGTTTTATTTGGAGGTATGTAATATCAATTTTGTCTAATATTAAATACTACTGGAAAGAGGAAAACAGTGATCATTCTTTATAGTTTGATAATTGGATAAAGGAGGGTGGTTAACTTCATCAGAAAACGGTCCCTCGTTTCTTTTTTGCCTATTTTGACTCGACTATTGTAGAAAAGACGTTTGGCCACATTTTCCAGTTGTTCTTACGGAAAATAAGCTCAAAATACGTTTTCAACGTTGATTATTTTGAGATTCCATCAGAGGACGTCGTTGTT